ATTTTGCTTGGGTCCCGACTGTATGGCGGATGCATTAAAATTTCCCAACCAAGCTCCCGAAGTTTTTGGCGAGTCAGTGTAGATATATGTGGTGGAACACGACACCTCTCCTGTTGGCCAATTCTGGCCGTTTCTGGTCAATTGTAAATGGTTTAAAACAATGTTATGTTAGATTTTTACACCATTCACAGTTTTAGCCCCTTGGCTTGCATTTTCGTCTTTATCAAAGAACAATGTAAAATGTTCCGAATTTCCCCTTTATTCACTTTATTCCTGTAACTCACAACTGAATGCACCAAACCAAAACCAGCAAAATAATTTTTTTACTGCCAAATGTCACCCTTCCAACGAAGGTGGGACCCGTCGACCCATCTGGTTCCCTCCTTACAAGGATCAATATTTTATAATCTTCAGCGAATTGAATGACTGATTTGATCAGCATTAAATCCAAAGCTTTTTTGATAAAAACATATAGCATATGTAAAGCGATTAATGAAACCTGTGTGTAATTCCGGAGACCTCCGCAAACCATAGGCTGAGGGAATATATTTATCGACAAACCACCTGCCACTTTTTTAGTTAAAAAATATTCTTTCCCGAAGAAATGAAATAATTTATTCAATGGCTGGGGATTTTTATAGGAAAAGAAGTGGAGCAACATATTTTTTTCAATAAGAAAAACTTCTATCTTAAAAAATTTTCCAAGGATTTTGATTTCTACAGAAAAAATGCCTCTGAAATGGCCCAAGAACTTTTTTCTATAAAAAGGACCTAATTTTTCTGAAAAAATCAGAAATCTTCAAACTGTTCCCGCCGCAGAGGGTATAACATTTTGGTAATATAGAAATATGCTACCAGTTATTGAAGCTTAGACTTTGGAGCTGACTTTCACACTTTCTTCATATTAATGTTCATAAGTATGCACATATAAATTTGTAGTAATGAAATGAGCACTTTCATTTTCAAAAAGCATTCCCTCACCACCCATCTTAAATATGGTGTTGATTTTCTTAATCATCGTTTTGTTCCTCTATCATGTAAAAATATTAAACAAAAACTCCTTTCACATTCTTTCTACGCATTTCTTTATATATAATGGTTTTGTTTCAATTTTTGGTTTTTCCATAGTTGTGATTCTTGTGGTTCTTCGAATTTTCTTTTTCGGGGGCTATGATACGACGGGTCCATGTCAATGCAGGCTAAACTGATGGCATATCTAATGAGTTTTCTCCTAACAATGATGATGGCAGCAATGAAACAAAACGCAACGAAAAAAAACGACCGAGGAAATAAAACGAGAAAGTTAAAACATAAAAAGGATATAAAAGGGATTTTATTTGCCAACATGTTGGCTACGGCGGCTAAACGTTTCAAGTATTTGATTTCTGGTCTTTCTTCAGCCAGCCATTCAGTTGTGTTTTTTTTTCTGGAGTCATTTTATGACTCTGCTTGTCTGCCTGTCGACATGCGAATATCTGGCTGCTGTATCTTTATGTCTTGGCCCATTAAAAAACTGCCAGAAATCATTTATTTAAATGCTCTCTAAATACGTGTGTTGTGTGTGGAAAGAGCGATTTTCAATCCTTTCGTAGTTTTTTTTTCGTACTCGTTTCGTGAAACAGACATTTTGGCTGATGTATTCTTTTCGCGTTTATCCCTCTCTCCCACTTGGGGTATTCTATTTTTTATGGTTGTCTTACATGCCACATTGTATTTGAAATGAAAAAAGAAAGAAACGCTAAAACAATTTAGAAAATTTTAATAGTTTATGGCTGTCGCCGCGTTGATGTTTCCATACTTTTTTTGGGAAAGTATTTCCGTTGTATTGTATGGAGAATAAAAGCTAGATGAGGGTAGAACAATCTCAAATTGAATTGCCGCTCGTTTTATTAAATTGTTAAATATTCAATTGCAAATATGACAGCTACGCTATAGAAACTTGGAATTATTTTTATACACTTCGTCATAAGTATAGAGGATAGATTAATTTTTTCATTATGTTTGTCTGTCTGTTGAAATCATGATTGAGTTCTCAATATGTACTGTAGACTGTTGAAATGTTCCACTTCTATGGCTAATACTCCTAGAATGTTTGGTATAGAATATCGAATATATCGACACATGTTTTTGAAATAGAGCCTACCATACCACTTTTCGAATTTTAGATGTCTCATCCCTATTGATTTGGCATTTCGGGTTCTCAGAAGATGTCATATTATAATTAAAAATGTTATCGTATACATTTTGCAATATAAAAATAGTCCCCATAAAAAATTCTGTCCAATTTTGCATATTTTGAAGATACTAAACACTTTTCAAATCGAAGTGGCTTTAATTTGGCTAATTGAGTTCTGACACCATAAAACATCTCATGCTGTGATGATTTAATATGTCATTTCGAATTATCAGAGGTTAGGAGACCTCTAGGCTTAAATTGAAAGGGCTACTTATACATAGTCCAATAATTTGAACTCTTTTAAGGTGGCATTTTGGGGTTTCAGAAACTACATCCCGGGTATTTTTTTTTATTATAGGTCCACCCGATTTTATGTATATTATTTTCGATGTAGTATAGATTTTTAGAAAATCTATAAGAAACGTGGATTTTTAAAAAAAGAGATTTTTTAGTTAGAAGCTTTTAGGATTTTTTTAAGAATATTTTTAAAGGATCTTTAAGAGGCGTGGAATTTTTAAGGAATATTTTTAAAGGACCTTTAGAAGGCGTGGAATTTTTTAAGGAATATTTTTGAAGGACCTTTAAAAGGCGTGGCATTTTTAAAGAATATTTTTTGAGGACCTTTAAAAAGCGTGGATTTTTCGAAGAATATTTTTAGAAGAGCATATTTTAAGAGGCGTGGATTTTTAAATACAGTTTTTAGAGGACCTATCAGAGAGACATTTTTGAGAATATTTTTAGACGACCTATAAGAGGCGTGGACTTTTAAATACAGTTTTTAGAGGACCTATCAGAGAGACAATATTTATAGGCGTGGATTTATAAATAAAATTTGTAGAAAAGTTATAAGAGGAAGAAAAAATGGATTTTAATACAATTTTGGATTTAAATGCAATTTTTAGAGGGGTTATAAGGAGGAAAACAAATTTTGAAAATATTTTTAGTGGGGTTATAAAAGGAACAATTTGAGAATATTTTTAGAAGCCTGGAGCTCCAACCGAAGCAAACTCAAAACGGTTTTTCTGATTCATGGAAGGTAAAAAGCCCAACTATATAAATAATTTGAAAGGCGTGGATTTTGAAAAAAAAATTGTAGTGGAGCTATATGAGGAAGAAACAATTTTGAGAATATTTTTAGAGGCGTGGAACAAGCTTTAAGAATATTTTTAGAGGTGTGGATTTTGAAATAAAAAAATTATAGGAGATATAAGATATTGTCAAAATCTTAACCTCATTTTTCAATCGAAGTGGACTTAATATGTTTGTTCTGTTCATATTTTTTAATATACAAGGTCCACCACAGGGAAAACCCCCACTCCAAATTCCACATATTTAAAGTTAGCTATATTGGTCCACTTTTTAGTGTTGCTTTCACACAGTAACCCCGAAATTTTGTTATTTTGAGGAATTTTGAAAAATTTGTAAACCAATTGATTTTAAGTCCGTATTTTAGGTTTTCATTGGGTAGAAACATATCCTGCCATAAAAATGTCAAGATTGGCTGAATCTTCAGTTAGTGCAAATATTAGGTTGGGGAAAAAGAAATCCATTATTTTTATATGAACTATAGGACTTTATTTAAAATGCTTCGGAATGTCCGATTTGGGCCAAATATGCACCGTTTTGTTGTGTGATTTGTTGCCATTTTAAAGGTAACTTCATAATGCCTCTCTCATAGAAGTCCTGCTTTCTATTTGCCAAAAACTCTAGTAGTCGATTTTCACAATCCTCCCTAAATTCAAATTTTTTATCATTAAGGAAATCTAGCAATGCAAGAAAAATATGATAATCGCTTGGTGCCAAGTCCGGACTGTGTGTCGAATGCATTAAAACTTCCCAACCAAGCTCCCGAAATTTCTGTCGAGTCACTGTAGATGTGTGTGGTCTAGCGTTGTTCTGGTGGAACACAACACCTCTCCTGTTTTGTCCGTTTCTGGTCAATTTCTATCTTCAAACGGTCCAGTTGTTGACAGTAGAAAATAGAATTTAGCGTTTGGTCATATGGAAGCAACTCATAATAAATACTCCCCTTCCAGTCCCATCAAATGCATAGCAGAACATTCCTGTGCGTTAGTCCTGGTTTGGCCACTGTTTGACTTACTTCACCGCGCTTTGGCCATGATCGTTTTCGCACAGGGTTATCGTATGTTATCCATTTCTCATCTCATTTCGTTTGGCCAAGGTTTTGTAGATGAAAATTCGATCCATCCCATCAACTTCAATCATTTCTCCGATTTTATCGAAATTTTCATTATGGATTTCTTTTTCCCCAACCTAATATGGTCATACCCTCATATTCTTATTCTCATGGATTTGTGGTATCTTGAAGATTTCGATATTTTAGAGATCTAACCCAATTATAGTATCTGCTATGTAAGATATGTTGTTTTCTCCTGGCAGCAATATGCCATGGCATAGTTATGTCCCGAATGATTTTTCTAAAGGACCTTTAGGAAGCCCGGATTTTTTAAGAATACTTTTTAGAAGAACTTTAAGAAGGGTGGATTTATTTTGGGTATAAAAATTCGTCCTGGATAAATTTACCGACGTTGTTACAGTCCAAGGCGCATTTTTCAAACGAAGATATATTTATGGGCTGGTATTCCTAGATTACAAGACCTCTTATACAGATTTCGTCCCAATTTAAGTATATATTTAAGATCCTAACCGCATTTTACATCCTAAATGGCTGTAAATTTGTGAAAGGTATCAAAAGTTCGTTACGACCGAACAAAATTCTATTTTATTTTTGTTTCTGATTTTTAAATAAATAAAAAAATATTAATTTTTAAAAATTTTTATTTTTTCTATTCCAGCGCTCCAGCAATCAGGCAGCACGTAAAGCTATACGCTACAATAAAGTACCCACCAATAATCGACGAAGAAATCGCATTACTTCCTCCAGTACTCTGCTGAAAGTAGATGCTGAAGCCAATATCGATGATGAGGATATAGAAGATGATGAAGAAGAGGAGGCGACTGTTGAATACTATGACGAAGAAGAAGATGAAGAAGAAATTTATGAAAGAGATTTGCAGCAGTGTCCAACTCAAACGCCAACTCTTGCTGAAGATGATGATGTCAATGATGTAGACGATTTAGAATTATTTGATAGAAATACAAAAATTAATATAGATAAAAAACAACGAAAACAGCGACAAACTAAATTATCGCATTCGGGGGCGACAGAAGAACAAGAACTGCATACATTTGTGAGAGTGCCCCTGAAGAAGACACCAGCAGGTGCAGCCGCACGACACATGCCAGCCAGTTCGGAAGATAAAACGCAAAGGACATAGAAATGGGGAATTGAAACCCACAGTTAAAAAAATCCCATTAGAATGAAAGAAAAAGCAACAAGAAATAAACCTGTGAAAAGAAAGCAAAAAAGTAACAAATAAAAGCGGAAATTCATAATTGAAAATAAAATGGATGAAATGTAAATTTTGTATAAAGAAAATTGTACCTTATTATATAAATGAAAAAAAACTAAACAACAAAATTAAAAAAAAATATATATTAATACGGAAATTGAATATAAAATTTAATTGTAACAGCTCTAAGCTTAAAAACAAAAACCACATAATAACATAGAATAATTAATAATTTGATTTTTTTGTTTCTTTTTATTAATTAATTGAAAAAAAATTAGCTAATAATCGGTAAAATAACAAACAACATCAAATTAATAGACAATTCAATTTAAATATTTTTGTCGAAATGATATATTTTTTATAATCTCAAACATGAATCTAATTGTTTCGAAATCGTATTTTTTATTATTACATTTTTTAATTATTTTTAAAATACTATATTTTTATTTTTTACTAAAAATCTTTTTTTTTTGTATTTTTTATCATTGTTTTACTTTACCTTTTTCCTATTTGTTTTTATGTAGTTCATAATGTTATCCCTACTATTTTCTTTGGAAATTGTCTTTTATGTATATGTAAAAAAGAAGAAGAAGAAGAAATTGTTTTTTGTTTTAATTTTTCTTATAAGTTCCCCTCCCTCTATTTGTCAATGATGTAACAACACAAACCACCCTCACAATTACACACACACAAACAGACAGATAGTAAAAATTTTATAAAAAAGGTAAAAGAATAATTTTTAATTTATATAACTTTTTTTTTTGATTACAACAAATGCCCTTGAGGGGTCTTATTATGTTATTTCTATCACATACACACACATTTATTTGTAGATTTTAATTACTGATGTATCTCTCTTTATATAAAACTCGAATAAAAAAACATAATTGGATGAGATAATCTCAAAAAAAAGAAGAAATTGTTTTTATTTCATATTAAGTTTTAATTCAACGGAAAATTTGTTTAAACATAATTAAAAATCTGTAATTTTAAAAAGATCTTAAATCTCATCAAAAAGTCCTGGACATCACAATAGTTTGGAATTTTCTACACAATTGCCTTTTGTTTGCCGGTTAATTCCAAATGGGTTAATTTGTTAATTGTATCGCTCTCTTTTATTAATAGGAGGAATTAATTTCCACCTAACCATCTCTTCTATTTTGAAGCGCCTAAAAATATGCTTTAAAATTCAACCCTGGTAAAGACACGTGAATAGCGCCATCTATTGATACACATGACTGTGAATCGCTTAACAAAAAAAGACAAAAACTGAAAAGTCCAAAATTGGCATGTCGTTAAATAAGAAAAATCGATTTTTTCATACAATTAAGGGCCGATTTCCTTCCGATTTGAATGGCATCGTGTAAAGAACATCTGAAACGATCGTTTCAAATAATTTCCGAAAATTTTTATTTTAAATTTACCAAGAAAATCAATGTTTATTGTAGGCTTCATTTATGATTTTTTGCATATGTTTCTAGCATTCAAAACGAAATAAACCCATAGTTAGGTTTGAGAATATACATAACATTACTGTCTGAGTCGATTTAACCATGTTCGTCCTTCTATTTGTCAGTCTGTGTATGTATTATTGTAAAAAACGTACAGATTACATTTATCATCCGAATGATATGAAATTTTGGCATAGCTCATTTTTTTTGCTCAAGGACGAATTGTACTGAAATTCGTGAAAATCTGTTCAGATTTAGATATAGCTCCCATATATATTTTCATCCGATATTGTTTAAATTGTGTACCAAATTGCCAAGGTTTGTTCGAATGAGACGAAACTTGGCATAACGTATTAAATTGAGTCTAGTGAGACATATGTTAAATCGGTTCTGATTTAGATATAACTCTTATAACTCTCTTACTCTTACCGATTTCATCTAATTAGTACACCGACTACCCAAAGTTTGTCCGACTGAGACGAAATTTTGCGAAGCGTGTTATATTGGGTATAGAACGTCATATGTTAAGTTTTATTGAAATCGGTTAAGATTTAGATATAGCTACCTTATATATATTTGGCCGATTTCATCTAATTAATACACCGACTATCCAAAGTTTCTCCAAATGAGACGAAATTTTGCGAAGCGTTTTGTATTGGGTATAGAATGTCATATGTTAAGTTTCGTTGAAATCGGTTTAGATTTGGATATAGCTACATTATAGATATTTGTCCGATTTTATTTATATGGTGCACCGAATCCACAATGTTTGTCCGACTGAGACGAAATTTAGCGTAGCGTATTAAACTGTGTCTAGAATGACGTGTGTTAAATTTCATTGAAATCGGTTTAGATTTGGATATAGCTCCGATTTAAATCTTCGTCGGATTTGATGTAAATTGTACACCAAACTCCCAAGTTTCGTCCGAATGAGATGAAATTTAGCATAACGCACTGTAATGAGTCTAAAATAACATGTGTTAAGTTTCGTTGAAATCGATTCAGATTTCGATAGCTCTCATTAGCAATTTCGTCCGATTTTACGTAAATGGTGCACCAAATACCCATAGATTGTTCCAAAACGATGAAATTTTTAACAACCTAGTTAATTGACTGACTATACAATGAAGTGTACTAAGTTTGCTTTAAATCGGTTTAAATTTTGATATAAATCCCCCATTTTAATCTAAGTAGCGTACCAAATGAAGCCTGAAATAACGCTGTAAAGTTTTATTACAATCGGTTCAGATTTATATATAGCCACCATATATATTTTCATCAAATAACAAATAGCAAATGATGTCTACGATTTTTCATCTTTTATTATGAAAATTATTTAAAAAATTCCATTTTTGTTCTTTTCTAAAAATTCCCCACAATCTTCTGATTATGACTGTCAATTTTGTTTTTCAGAAAAATCAATAAATCCTACCAAAAAATCGATTTATTTATTTTTAACGACATGACGTTTTTGGCAAATTCCGGAATTGCGATTTTTTGCTTTGCAATTTCCAATCATGTGATTCAATAGATGGCGCAATTCGCATGCCATTAAAAGAGTCACCCTGTATTAAAGTTTCATTTAAAAGTAATTGTAATCTAAAGCATACTTTAAGGCGCAAGTAAGTTGTTACCTTAATTTCAATTCCCAAAACAAACGTCGGATTTTATGTAAATAGTCTATCAAATACCCAATATTTGTTCTATAACGATGAAATTTTCCACAACCTAGTTAATTGACTATACAATGAAGTGTATTAAGTTGGTTTTGAATCGGCTAAGTAGACTTTTATTTTATATATCACATATATTTTCATCCAATTTAATCTAATCAACGTAGCAAATGAAGCGTATTAATTGTTATGGCAATCGGTTCAGATTTATATATAGTCAGCATATATATTTTCATCAACTAACAAAGAGCAAATGATAGCTACGATTTGACGTCTTTTATTATGAAAATTATTTAAAAAAATTCCACTTTTGTTCTTTTCTACACATTCTCCAAACTCTTCTGATTATAACTGTTAATTTTGTTTTTCAGAAAAACCAAAAAATCCTACCAAAAAGCCGATTTATTTATTTTAACGACATGGCGTTTTTGGCAAAATCCGGGATTTCAATTTTTTGCTTTGCGATTTCCAATCATGTGATTCAATAGATGGCGCTATTCGCATGTCATGAAAAGTGTCACCCTGTTTGAGTTTCTTTAAAAATAATTATATTGTAAAGCATACTTTAAGGCGTAAGTAAAAAGTGTGACCTCATTTGAAACAAAATAAAAATATACATTTGAGAGTTTGTTTTTATGTTTTAATATATTTAATGTTTTGAAATTATTTATAAAAATCGAAAATATGTTATTTAATTAAAATGGTTTTCATTCATCACATTGGAGAATATATTGATGCTTGCGATACAACCAGAAAACTGCAGGTCCTGTAAAGAAAATGAGAAATATATAACCATTAATTAAAGTGCAAAGACGAGAGCGCAAATTTTTAAATACGTGTATACCAAATTATAGAATAGAGAAGACATATAATCGTTATACAATAGTCAGCATATTTATCTATTTTACACATGACAGTATGTTTAATTAAATTAATGGTGTGATGATGAAATTAGTATTGGTATTTTCATACACACAGTCTTGTAACAAATGATGTTATGTATACAATTCAAATGTCGGTTTTAAACCCTAAGATTTTAAGACCTAATACGTTTGAGATAATTTGTAGTAGATTTACAAATGTAGATCCCATCGGTCCTCTCCTTCCGGTTCCAGCCCCACAAAGATTCAAAGTTTTTAAATTTCACATGAAGGAATTGAGTATCCGATTTGGTAAAATGTTTTTTTTTTTTATAAAAAAAAATCTGCTAATTTATCTTTTTATAAAAATAACATCAATTGGAGCAGAACAGCCAGTATTATTTCGCTTTAGACACACGTTAGGCTATACGAACTTCAGTACGTTATGCAAAATTCTGTGGCAATCGGAATAACTTTGGGTCTTTGGTGTAACATTTACTTAAAATTGGACGAAACTATACACGGGACCTATATCAACATCTAAACCGATTTCAACGAAACTTTCCACACAGCAACTTATACCAACATCAGCACGTTGTGCTAAATTTTGTGCCAATCGGCACTATTTTGCAGCTTTGATGAATCATTAACTGAAAATGGGATGGAACTATATATTAGAGCTATATATAAATCTGAACCGATTTAAAAAAAACTCGGTACATATTAGGTTGTCCTAACTTTAGTATGTTGTGCAAAATGTTATGAAAATCGGTCATAATTTGGAGCTTTGGTGCACTATTTACTCAAAAAGGGATGAAACTATATATGGGAGCGATATCCAAATCTGAACTGATTTCAGTAAAACATGACACACGTTTATCTATCCTAATTTCAGTATGTTGTGCAAATTTTTGTGAAAATCAGCCATATTTTGGAGCTTT